CATTAAATTGAGACAATAATAGAGATTATTTTAGAAATCAAGTGAGATAAAAAGGTTAATTATATCATAATAATCATTCGAGAAAGAAATGGTTATCGATATAGTTGTCTTCATTCTCATTTGATTTATAATTATCACCTGCAGTAAATCAAAAGTTTACTGATCCCAATAGATATATGATTTGGCAAAAGTGAGAATATTTGAGAGTCGACAAGTATTTATACATACCCTCTTTATATCAGCTTTATGATTAAATATCAGATATGAATCAACTTTTACGATTAAATATCGTAAAATATTGATGGGTGATCTATTGAATGATTTATTTATTCTGATGAGTTACGATTCCCGACTTTAGGGGGAGGAAAAAAATCAATCGAAAGGAAATCATCTGAAAAATTGGATTTTCTCGATTCTCATACAAAATAATGTGAATTAGAAATTCAAGAAATTCTTTATTTGAAAAAAGTTACAAATCAATTGTCAGATATATTTATCGACTCCAGAAGAGCCATTAAATCAACTATTCATGCAGGAAATATTCTGATTAAAATTGATGTCCCTGAAGGACATGCACAAGTGTTATAAATAAATTTAAGGTCGACCTACCTAAATAAAGTATAAATTGATTTCAAATATCTCCGGAAATTAAATAAATGTCATGACAATATTTAACCTCTTGAAGAGGTCTGAAGAGCCAACTCTTGAAGAGAATGAAATCATAGAAAATTTAATTGGAGCATAATGAAATGTAGCACTTGATATTATAGAAATTGATGAGAATCATGAATCTAGATCGGTTGATGAATATTGGTATAGAAGTGATTGGCCAAAATAGAAATATGCGATCCAATCTGAATTGGATTTATTGGTTAAAAGAAAAGTTTTTGGACTTGTAATCCAAAAACCTGAAGGTGTAAAGCCAGTAGGATATAAATGAATATTTGTGAGAAAAAGAAATGAGAAAAAATGAAATTATGAGGTATAAATCAAGACTTGCAGCCCAAGAATTTTCACAAAGGTCTGGATTTGATTATGATGAAACGTATTCACCTGCAGTGAATGTTATCACATTTAGATATCTTTTGAGTTTTACAGTACATGAAAAACTAGATATGCGTCTAATGGACGTTGTTACTGTATATTTATATGAAAATCTTAAAAATGATATTTATATGAGAATTTTTGAAAGATTCAACATGCCTGAAGCATGCAAATCAAATCCTAAAAATTTTTATTCTATTAAATTACAAAAGTTTTTGTATGGATTCAAACAATCTGGATGTATGTGGTATAACCGTTTCAGAGAATGTTTAACTAAAGAAGGTTATACTAATGACCCAATATGTCCATGTATTTTATCAAGAAAAATGGATCAAAATTTGTGATAAATGTTGTATATGTTGATGATCTAAATCTGATTGGACTCCTGAAGAGATTCAAAATAGTGTTGAATATTTGAAGAAGGAATTTGAGATCAAAGATTTTGAAAAACAAAATTCTGCCATGATTTACAAATTGAGCATTTAAAAAGTGAAATTTTTGTCCACCAAACTGCATATACTCGGAAGGTATTAAAGCGATTTTATATAGATAAGGCACATACATTAAGTACTCCAATGGTCATTAGATCATTAGATCCTAATAAGGATCATTTTAGACCGCGAGAGGAAGATGAAAAGATACTTGGTCCTAAAGTACCATATCTGAATGCAATTGGTGAAGAATATTGGAATGCGACGATTAAAAGATTTCAAATGATATTTACATCAGGGGGAGAAATTAATAGACAGGAATAGTGTACTCTTTTTTCTTCACTAAGGTTTTTGTCTCGATGAATTTTTCCCTAGTAAGGTTTTAACGAGACATATTATTTGTGTAATAGACATCCAAGGGGGAGTGTTATAAAACAATTAAAAGTGTGGATATCCATTTGTATTCTCAAGAGGACCAATTCATAATTCATTGATTCTAAAAGGATTAATTCATAATTCATTCCTACATTATGTAAAGGGGTTACAATGGATGAACGGTTTCAATTCATAAACCCATTCATGTATTGGAAGAACCGTTTCATAGACTATTTATGTTCTTGTAGTAATGAGTATTTTAATAGTATTGATATACCTTTAATTTTGTAGTACCTATATATAGAGGTACATTGACACCTTTTTGGATGACTTTGGTATTAGTTGAAATAATAAGAAACTCATTTTCCATTTCTCTAATATTTGAATGTCTATTATAGTATTTCATTTTATTAGTTTTATAACAGGTCAACATTATTGTTGCTAATTCACTATAGTTCCCATAATATTGCATAATGTTAATTTGGTTCATATCATAAGATGAAAATGGTTCTGTTAAGTTTCTTTATTCCTTTCAGCAAATTATCTAATAACTTTTCACTCATTTTACATTTTTAGTCCAAAACTAAAAGGGTTAAAAAAGGGATAATTGCAGAAACCTCCTCTGAGGTTTTTGACATTTGCACTGATCTTCCCTGTGGTTTGAAAAATTGCACTGACCTCCCCTGAACTTACTAATCCTTTGCAAATTCAGTCCAAACGATTAAAATATTATTTTAGGGAGTGAAATTAGAATTTTGTACTAGATTTACCCTTTGTGCTACATGTCCAATGAATAACAAAGTACTACAAATCAATTAACAATTAATAAACTTTAAGATGTGTAGTTTATGGGTAAATACGCATTACCCATTTAAAGTACCGGCTCTTTATGAGTATTTTATTTTCAAACATTTAATTTATGATAAATATATCAATGTTTGTAAGTAAAATTCAAAAAGTGTTACAGTAATATTCTTACAAAAAGAAAATCGATAGGTTATCTATTTAATATAAAATAAATATTTTCTAAAACAAGAAATGGCCCATAAAGTATTAATTCTTTATGGCTTTCATCCATTAGATGAGTAAAGTATTGGCTCTTTATGAATATTTTATTCTGAATTATTTAATTTATGTTAAATACATAAATTTTTGTAAATAAAATTGAAAAAATGTTACATTAATATTTTTATAGAAGGGAAATTGGTATGTTTTGTATTTAACAAAAATTAAATATTTACTGATTTCCTTTATGTAAGAATATTACTGTAACACTTTTTGAATTTTTACTTACAAACATTGATATATTTATCATAAATTAAATGTTTGAAAGTAAAATACTCATAAAGAGCCGATACTTTAAATAGATAATGTGTATTTGTCCATAAACTACATCCCTTAAAGTTTATTAATTGTTAATTGATTTGTAGTACTTTGTCATTCATTGGACATGTAGCACAAGGGACAAATCTGGTACAAAATTCTAATTTCATTCCCTAAAACAATATTTTAATCATTTGGACTGAATTTGCAAAGGATTAGTAAGTTCAGGGGAGGTCAGTGCAATTTTTCAAACTACAGAGGAGGTCAGTGCAAGTGTTAGAAATCTCAAGGGAGGTTTCTATAATTATCCCTTAAAAAAATGGACTTTTAAACTATATGGGAGCTAGACGTAACTCACCGAAACAAGGCTAATTACTCAGAATATCGTTGAAAAAAAAAAAGAAGTCGAACATCTATCGCTCTGACAAGGGATAACTGCAAATCTATGGCTGCGGGCTGACACAGCCCAGCAGCTAAAAAATCCAAATATTTTTTTTTAAGCTCTGACACTCAGCCCGGCAGTAGACAAATTTTTCTTTTATTATTATTTTGCTGGCTGCCGGGCTGACAGATTTCTGCAAAAAGCTGGTAGCTGGGCTCTTTAAAAAAAAAAGGTCGAGTCTTCTGCCAGAACTTTTCAATTCCCTATTCCTGATTTTTCTCATTTTTTTTTTAAATTGCTCACAATTGTAATCAACTTAAAGTTAAAACTGGAGTTCTAAACATTTGCACACTTGCACCTGCCCAAATCCAAAAGTAAAGGAAGTATGAGAAAATGGGGTGTGGAGTAAAAGTGGAAGGACCTTTTGGGCGTCTCTGGGGATACCATAACCATTATAATACATCTGGCTGACAAGGACCTACATGGCGGTATCACCAACCTTGGCTTCTTTGAGGGTGTCTTGAAACCACTGCTTGACACAATCAGCTAGGCATGGCCACGGTTCCAGAACCGCCGGTTCTGATTTTTTTCAAAGAGGTAGAACCAGAACCGCACCATATAAGATGGTTCCCACACCATATAAGATGGTTCTGGTTCTGGTTCTTCAAAGAGGTAGAACCAGAACCGCACCATATAAGATGGTTCCCACACCATATAAGATGGTTCTGGTTCTGGTTCTTCAAAGAGGTAGAACCAGAACCACATAGTTCTGATTTCGATTTCTTATGGTTCTGGTTCTGGTTCCGTATGGTAACCTACAATTTTATTTAATTCTTTATCCTTACCAATTTTAATACGAATATAACAATATATTTAAAATTTCAAATAGAATGTACAAAAATAAATACAAAATAAAGATCATATTTTAATTGTATTATTATTCTACAAAGTAAGAAGTAATAAATAGGCAATACAAATTTTATGAAAAGTACATTACATTATCAAATTAAAAAATACATTACACTATCAAATGGTTGTTATGTGTTGACTTTTTTGAGTTGGACAATCATCAATGTTGAAGATTTTATTTGAAGAAATATTGCAAAAAATATTTTTTTGCTTGCTTGATTTTGAAGATAAGCTACTACTATCAAAACTTGCCATTTTTTGATAGCAAATAAGCAAAAAAAAAATTTATAAGTAATAATTTAATACTTACAAATTATAATGATAGATATTAGACAAATAGAAATAATTAAATAATTAGTAAAATATATAGAAAGTTCATAAAATTTAAACTTTCTTAAAACCTATTAAACATAACTAATTTTTTTGAATTATCTCACTACTTATATTAATTATTTTTAATGATTTTTAACGGTTCTGAAACCGACGGTTCTGGTTCTGGTTTTATTTTTTAAAGAACCAGAACCGGAACCTTTATCCAAGGTTCTGCCACAGTTCTGGTTCCATGGTTTTGATTCCGGTTCCAAACGGTCCTATTCCGATCCGGTTCCGATTCCAAATGGATCCATGACCATGCCTACAATCAGCCACGGCCTCCGCCAGAGGAATCCGGCGGCCCTGCTCGGACGCCGAAGTGGAGTTGTCGTTGGAAGTTGATTCTTCCCCTCTATCCCTTTATTTTCAAGTCTAAGCTGCGGCAATTGCTGGTCCTTTGATGCAAGCCGCCGGGACCCACCAAGGTTGGCGGCCGGGGATTGGGCAGAGGACACGGTGGTGGGTCGGGGGTATTTGGGGATTTGGCGGCGATGAAGTCGGTTAGAGGAGATAGCCCTGGACAATTCTTGGAGTGCAGCTGGAGATGGAAGTGCCTTTCCCGTAATAATGAGAACAACACATAGACGAACGATGAAACTCAATCAAAAAGAACTGGCTGCCTTGATTAGAGCCGGCACGTTTGGAAATTTTTTTTTTTTTAAATATATTGAACTGTCAGCCCAGCAGGTAGCTTTTTGCAGAATTCTGCCGGCTATCGGCATGGATAAAAAAAAAAAAAAAATTTCCGCTGCCAGGTGTGTCAGCCCGGTAGTGATAGCGGTGTAGAGTTAAAAAAAAAAAATGATTGGCCTTTTTGGCTGCGGACTGTGTCAGTTCGGCAGTCATAGATTTGCACACTTTGTCAGAGATAGACGCCCAACTTTTCTTTTTTACAACGATATTCTGAATAATTAACCCGAAACAAAAGAGGTTACTAAAATTCAGAATACAAAATAATAATTTTTTTTTTTTACTATTTTCTTGCCGACATGAACATATAAACCCCCAAGCTTCAAAAACCCTAACATTTCAATTTAAACCATAATCACCACCCAGAACACAGCAATTGAGAATTCAACAATTCTGAAAGAAAAATGACCCAAAAGAGCAATCTTTTCAAATGCCAACGAAAGAAGAAATCAATTCCTCCCAATCGCCATGGCAGTGCCCCTCAAACTCGTAGGTGCAAATTTTATTTTATAATTTTCATATTTTTGTTGAACAAAAAGCATATTATATTCATTTGTGAGGTGGGTTTTGATTGAAATTTGAATTTGAATTTAGGGAAGAGAGTTGTGAAGCCCTCAAAGGTCACAAAGGATGTGGATACCGATCGGGTAAGCTTATTTATTCTCGTGGTACGTTTCTTTATCTGCTTAATTGTACTTCAGAAACGAATATTCTTTTTTTTCAAGTGTTCACTATATTTTTTAATGTTTTTGTGTTTCTTTGATTTTTGTTCTTCCAGAAGAAAAATTGTAGAAACATGCAATTTCCCGATAATTGGAGGAGTAGTTCAGTTTTTCTAACATAGCAATAACCCCCTAATCGAGATGCCTTCAATGTGAGAACAGTTCGGTGTGTTATTTCGTGAAAAAGAACATTGGTTTTGCCTTCAGTTGGAGCTTAGAATTATCTTAACTTAGAATCTAAGCGTCAGCTGAGATGACCTCAGAATTTAGGCTTCTTGTGCATGTTGGAGGAGATTGATCCCTTTATTTTGTCCTATCGAAAGCACTTACTGCATTGATTGAATTATAAGCTTTAGTTTGATTTCAGTCTTAGTGTGTCCCAATAATCTTGTTCCCATGAAAGATTGAGGCAATAATAATAAGTCTAAAGTGTTTTTGTTTACATGTACGAGCTCTAAACTGGCTTCAATTCCTTTTCTCCCTTTTTGTGTGTGTTTGTGAGAATGTGTTCTTGTCTTATAAATTTGGGAGGAAAAGATATGTTCTGGAAACCATGTTCATGTATTTCATTCCTGAATTTTGTATTTATGCTTTGATATTTTAGTGTTTCTTTTTAGTTTTTTCTGATCCTGCAATCAGTTTCTGATGTACAAAAGTAAAAGGAGAAGAAGAAACCAGAAAGAAACGTTCCATCAATAAATTGGCAGATTAGAAGTCTCAAATTGAGATCAGGTAAATGCCGAGTAGAAGATGATAGAGCACTGTTTCTGGAAAAAAACACAGCGAGAGGAACTTAGAGTAGAGTATGGTCAACTGCTGACATCATTCTGATGCTAGGCTAGAAACTGGATGTTTTTGTTTCGTCATCGATATTACAGAATTGCATGAGGTGAATGGGGAAAGTGGTTTACATATGGTCCCAATGAATTATTTTTAACCTTTTGGGGTTAGAATAAGCTCAATTAAAAACAAAAACCTGGCCAAGCATTTCACATCATAGGCAGGTTTGGGCAACTAAATGGATTTGGACTGAGATTGTCAGCTATGCCTCCAGCTCAAAACCAAAATGAAAGATTTTTGTAGACATAAAACTGTAGATCCTTCTATGTCTTGGTGAATATGTGCTATGGGTTCATTAACTCTTTTGTTAGTGTTAAACAGGTGTTGTGGCAGAAATGCTTTGTGATGTAGTGCATAAATTGAGATATCTACATGTGTGCTTACCTGTACACAGAAAATTGTGGATACATGTGCATGTGAAGGGAAGGAAGCTGTAGTATGGTTGTTAAGTGTACTCTTTTTACTCCTGAAACAATACTGAGCATGTAAATTTGTTAGTCGGTTTAGGTTAAGGCGCAATTATAGTTAGGCAGTCTTGGAAATTAAAGCTCCTAATCTAATTTCATTAGGGAAACCTGAGGGAATTGTGTAGTGTTTAAGTGAGCCAATCTGAGAGTAAACTATGGATCGTCCCAGATTTACAGCATCAAGGATTGCTAAATAATGAATATTTTAGCAATGATTGGACAAAATCATAGTGCAATTGTCAAACAAGGTTCACGTAGCTGTCACTGTATTTTCAATGTAATGCAGCTCCTGACAATGCTTACTAGGAGGACTAGATCTCTTTTCATAAACAGCAAGTGGACGTGGGGATACCTCTTTGGTAGCAAGGTTTATCAATAGAGTTTTACAGCTTTCACCATGTTTTCTGCTTACTTTCTCCAGCCTTGAGCCTTCCTTTTTGGGTGTTCCCTATACTCCATAGGCAACATTGACATTTCATCTGATTCACTAGCCTTAATTCTCCAGAACAGTCTTCCTGTTCTTTGTTATCGTACTTTGTCAATTCTTCTGTCAGTATGTAAAACCACCATATGTTGCAAACATGAAATGCATAACCAAGATAGGTTGTTTATTTCCTATATTCTCAAGTTCAAGGAGATGGCATGTTGTTGAGATCACTGATGATCCAAATAGATAGCAACTCTTAGAAGATGGTTTTTTTGTTGATCATCAGCAACCATCAATCTCACTACACAGATCCTTCGTTCTGGGCTGCATCTCCACTTCTGCACCCATCTCCAGCTATCTAATTAGCAAAGCTCAACTTTTATTACGTTCCCAGCGCCCACTCCCCAACAACCCAGAAAAAAAAAAAGAAAAAGAATTTGCGGTCCTTCTTTGTCCATAGCTCTCCTACCTCACAGTTTTTCTCTTTTCTGCACCAGCAATCTATCCTTTCTCCCATGCTCTGGTTTTCTACATGTTGGATATTGTGATGGTGAGGGTGCCATTTGAAATTTTAAGGGAGTGAAGATTGATATCCAGGTGGTGCACAATGCTGGAAAAAAACATGGGATTAGGCTAAAGTTGGATTACATATATTTTAATTGGCTTAGAGTTTCATTCTATTATTGGGTTTGGGTGGCACGGGTGAAAAAAGGAAGTAAAGTTCATTCCTTTCCCTGCTAACTAAGTCTCCATGAACACAAAAGATCTGCTTTTTCTAGAATTTACAGGAAAGGAAAAGTAAATTTGTCATCAGACAGCTTGGTGTTTTCAGATTGTAGAGAGACAGAGAGAGCTTCTCCCAATAACTTGATTTCTTCTGAACTCAGGCTGTGCATTGAATTTGTACTTATTTATTTGACATACTGACCTTGCTTTTGCATATGTTTTTAAGTTCTTCTGACAGCTTGTGTTCTGCTCTTCAGGAACTGACCAAGTTCATAAATTCTTACAATGAGGCAGCAGCTACTTTCGCCAACAAGGAAGGTGGCCAACTAAGCATAGTCAAACCACAACCAGAGTCATCTATAATGCATGCTCATAATTGTGAGTGTTCTTTAGTGGGTGATGCTCATAATTAGAGTATATATGCACCAAAATGTTGACTAATATGTGTCATGATTATATTTGAATTGAAGGGAAGAGCAAAGATCTTTTGGATTGGGAGGAGAACAGCAACTACTCTGCCTCTTCTACGGAGTCAAAGCTTCTATTTTGCAAAAAAGACGACTTTGTGCAGCTGCAATTACATTCTCTTTTTGAATTTGCATACTTTCTTTTGTTATATACCAAAATTTTTTTCTTTTTTTGACAAACTCTTATCACATATGGATTCTTCAAATACTTTTTCTTCTTCTATTTTTCTGATTCACATGGGAGGAAGTATGCATTTTCTCCACAATTTCACGGGCTTTTTGCATAAGAACAAAAAAGATTTACATATTATAGATTTTTTGTGTATAATTCAAGAGTAGTCTTGTTTTTTAACTATCAATTATCATAGCCAAACATCAGGTATTATACACCAAAACACAACAAGGGGATTAGTATTATACTATTATTTGACTAACAAATAGCTTAGTTAGTACAAATTATTGTCCTTTAACTCCCATATTAAGTGGCGTAGAAATAACGACATAAATTATATTATAAAACACACCAAAAAAATTAGAGATTTTGTTGCATTTAGGCCATACATAAAATGTTTGTTTTGATATCTTTTTATCGGATTTTTTTTGTCCAAACGAAGAGCTGAAATTCTGCAGTTGGTGTAATGTTTGATTTTTTTCATGATTTCCACCCAAAACTAGAATATTCAATGATATCAAGGCATTGACGAATCAAATCAATCATTTGTAAGCACTGCACGCAATTTTTTTTATTCTCAGAAATTAGAGTTTGTTTGGACAACAAGAATTTGGAATAAAAATTTCAGATTTTGTTTTGCTTGCATCATACACACAATTCCCAATCACCTTTTTATCTCACATACATCACATCACAAAAAGTGCTACAGTAACTGGATCAAATAAATCATCCAAATAAATTCTTATCCAAACAAACTCTAATAAAACTTCTGATTTCAAGTTCAACTTCAAAATCAGGTGATTACGAAAGTTACAAGAAAATTATTTGCACAACCCCATTTTTATAAACCTTTTATTTTTTTCCTTGCATACATAAAATTAGTTGGGGAAGGATTGAGTTGGGTGATATTGCAAGTAAGAGATTTTAGATTTAAAACCTCCCACTTACAAAAGAAAATAAAAAGGACTAATTATACATATGAAGGGGCTTTAAATAGCACATGGAATATCATTTAGCATGAAAAGTCTTTTTGTTTTTCTTCCTCTAGTTGATTGAGTCAATGCAAGTACTGTAAACAAAATCAATCAATTTGGTAAAACAATTTATCAAGACTTTCCTAGGCAAGTGTAATAACTTTTTTTCGCAAAGGTTGGCTTGATAATGGATTTATCACCAAACAAGACCCACAATTCCACAATGGCAGCTTAACCTAAATAAGTTGTAGTATAAACTAGTAATGTACAATAATCGAGTGACCAACTCAATAATCTGAGTCATGCTTCTACCAAGACGGATCTAAATTATATCATCTTGGTAATAACTTGAGATGCCAGTTGTTGGGTTCACGAGTAGGAGTCGTGTCTAACATTTATTAGACAAACGGAGAGTATTTAATACATAGGTTAAGAACCCAAGACCAAATAGGTTAAGTTTTTGAATCAATATTAGGTTCCTGACTTATATATTGGGTCTTTTTGATGGTTCTCTTGGATTTTTTTTCCTAATAAATGGTATCAATATTTCTAGTGACAGGTGGTTTCTTCTCGAAATTGAACAGGTAAATTCTTCCCTCTTGGTGGTGGATCAAAGTGTCAAGGAGTTTAGGGCATTGGTCCCAAGTGCCAAGAGTTTGGCAAAGGGTCTATTAGTGGTAGATCGCAGAGTACTTAAGAATTGGTAGAGAATCCAGGATCCCATTTGAATACTGAAGAAGAGTGGGGCTATGAGTTAGAGAAGCTGGGGGTCTCAAGCATTAAACTAGGCTTGTCTTAAATATAAAATGGGTTTAGAAAGAATTTTAAAATTGAGTGTAATATAAGAACTACCCATTAATAAGGAGATTGTTGAGTTCATGAATAGGAGTTATGCCCCCATATTAGTTCATGAATAGGAGTTATTCCCCCATATTAGTTCATGAATAGGAGATATGCCCCATATTGGTTAAAGAGATGAAAAAAAATGCTTAATCTTACATATAAGGGCCCAAGATTTAATAGTTTAAACTTTTAGATCAATGTTGAATTCCTGGCTTATATATTGAACCTCTCGAGTTTTTCTCTCCAACACAAAATTATATAGTTATCTGTATTTCATGTCATATACTTAAGGGCAAATTATCCATTTGACCCTTGAACTTCCCTTAACTATTTGTAGTCAACTTTTAACCCTCAAACTTGTAAAATTGGGCACCCGTAACCCTTTTGGCCAATTTTTTCGATTTTACAATAGGAAAGCCAAATCACACGAATGGCAGCATGTTTTAAAGAAGGGTATTTTTGTCCGCATTTTCTAAGCAAAAAGGGAACAACTCCTCATTCTTCCCTCCCTTTTCATAATCCAACCAAACAAGTTGAACCACACCGCACTTTTCTTACCTCTTTTCATCTTCCGTTGAGGATTTTTATGGAGGGAGAAGAGCAAGAGAGAAATAGCACTGTCGAGTTCAACAATAGTTGTGTATCATCAACATTAAAGCAACAATGGAGTGGTAAATCAGGGCGCAAAATGAATACTTTGATCCGGTCCTCGCTTATGGTATGTAACTTTGTTGGAACCTTTAAATGTGAAATAGCTAGCATATTCAGTGGTTGGATGGGTAGCAATATTTTGGTGGTAGGGGTTACTGAAAGTGACATGGTAGTGGTCCTAGATGTGGGGGTATGGTGGTGGGCACCTAATTTTGTTGTTTGGTTGTTTAAAAAGTGTAAGGATTTACGAATAATCAGCATTTGATTAAAGCTGGAACTTGTTTATTGTTTAACTTGGATTTGGGTATTATATTAGCTTTACTTTTTTAAAAAGCATATGAAGAAGAAATTGAAAATTAATTAATTATAGTTGAATGTTGAATAGTATATTTATCTGCACTTCTTGTAAGCCCAACTTGTATTGAAACGAAAAATTCATATTGGTATGCAGCTCCAGAATATGAAATATTTAGCATAAGGTTACACCACGGGGGAAGAATAAATTGGAGAAATTATGTAAGCTATGAGAATGAAGAAGTGGACTATGTAGATATGTGTGATACTGAGCATATATCAATCCATGAGTTGAATAAAATTGTTGAAAAAGTTGGTCATCCTAATGCAACTATTTTGTACTATTACCTTGAACCAATTGCAGACATGGGGACTGGTTTGAGAGATTTGTCCACCGATACTCATGTTAGGACCTTCTGTGATTGGGCATATAAGTTCAAGGTGATGGAAGTGTATTATCATCATCTAACAGTAATAGAAATTGAAGAACTGAATAATAATCAAATAATAGAGTCACCAAGTGAGGGAAAAAAAATCTGGAGTTGTTATAGAGGAATTAGATGAGGAAGAATGCATAATTAGATATGTAGTACTCAGAGAGTCCAGAAGGGATTGTATGGTTGGGGCAGTAGGGGTGAAAAAAGAGCAAAAAGTAGTTATGTAGCTACTAATGTTGGGACAGCAGAGGGTGAAAATGAAGCAGACTGTAGTAATGCAGCATCTAATTGTCGGGCTAATGAATCAATACGTAGAGAAAACATTGAAGATGAATCTGAATCAGAATCAAACGAAGAAAATGACAGATTCAGTGGAGCCAATGACTATGGTGGTGAAGAGAAAATGCTGAACATTTTGTTTTTCAAAAATGCTGGTGGCAGTGCTGAAACTTCACAGCAACAGCAGAGAGATGACATCACAACTGACCAGAAGCAACATTCATAATAGGAAAATGTTTTAGACACGCAAACAGAAACTGACCTGGAAACACAATAGCAAGGTGCGAGAAAGAAACAAGTTAGGAGAAGGAGAACTAGACCAGCAAACCAATCAAGCCAGGGACTAGAGGATACAGATTCACTCCAACAAGATTACATCCCTGATCACCTAATTAGTGACAATGGCTCATCAGATGATGAATTCAAATGGAGATACAAGGACTTTGTCCTAGAGATATTCCTCAAGAATCCCAAATTTGAGATTGGGATGAAATTTGAGTCAAGAGCACAATTCAAATATGTTGTGATTGAGTATAGGATTAGGATGGATAAACATGTTTGGACCTGTAAAAATGAACCACCAAGGCGAGGGCCAAGTGTAGGAAGTCATGTAAATGATTTGTATTTGCTTCAATAGAGAAGACTCTCGGCACAATGGATTTGGTAGTAAAGACTATGCATGATGTCCATGAAACATGCAACCATGCATAGAAAAATAAGAATATTACTATCAAGTGGCTGTCTAACAGGTATGTAGAGAGGATAAGATCAAACAACAATCTGCCAACAAGAGAGTCAAGGCAAACAGTCCATGAAGACTACCAGGTAGAAATCTCTAAGCATGTTACAGCTAAGGCGAAGTCACTAGCTATTGAAAAGATTAAGGGGTCAGCTGAGTCACAATACAAGAAAATATGGCAATATTGTGAAAAGATTAAAAGGACTCATCCTGGCAATACAATGGAGGTTATGTTCACTCCATTTAGAGAACCTGGATGTAATCCAAGATTCATAAGGATGTACTGCTGCCTTGGCCCACTGAAGAAAGGCTTTAAAGATGGATGTAGATCTATTTTGTGTTTCGATGGATGTCATATTAAAGGTAGATATCCAGTCCAACTATTGACTGCTATTGTAGTGGACCCCAACAATGGCTATTGGACAGTTGCATGGGCAGCTGTTGAAAGGAAGGCTACAGAGCAATGGAGATGGTTCTTAACCCTCTTGAGTGGTGACCTGAAAATACAAAATGAGGGACATTATACTTTCATGTCTGACCAGCAGAAGGTAAAACTATAAAATTAAGCCCTTGAACTTTTTTAGTTTAGGTAAAATTAAGCCCCTTAACTATTTGTAGTCAACTTTTAGCCCTCAAACTTCTAAAATATTATGAAATTTTCTTTGATAGCTAACTTATACCTGTTTTGATATTTTGTGTAGGGACTGGATAGAGCACTTGCAGAAGTTCTCCCAAATTCTGAACATATATACTGTGTTCAACACATGTATAGAAATTTCAATAAGAAACATCCAAGATTAGCTTTAAAGGATAGATTGTGGAGTATAGCAAGCTGCACAATAGTTGAACATTTCAACAAAGCCATGGATGAGCTTGAAGAATATGACAA